CTTATGGAAAGTAATAGCTATGCATCACAAAAACATATAAAGCAAAAAAACATAATACTTACAATACTATAATGCTTCCACTCTCATGCAATAATGATAAATATTTTGGTGTTTCTATGTATTTTTTTCCCATAACTCTAATCATTCTGTCCTTTTTTTTTTTTTGGTATTGTTTCCACAGCATTAAAAAATAAAACACTTCACTTATAATTTTCATTAATTTAAACATTTTCTCCTTGATAAACATTCAGATTATCCCAATTATAAATGTTTCAATGAGTATCTTGAAGTGTAATATAGCTTTTCCAGTATTTGAGAATACTTCCAAAAATAGACACTCAGAAATGAAATTATTAGAGCAAAGATGAATGAAAAATATTAATAGTTTCTGCAGCATATTACCAAAATGCAATGCCACATCCTCACCAACTATAGGAAAATATATTTTTAAAGTATCTGGTCGTTCTTTGTGAGCACAGCTGTTTGTGTCCAGTGGTTACTATGCATTCATTCTTTTTCCTTTCCTCAAATAAATTTTTATGTAAAGCACAGATTATGTGTCAAGTCCTATAATAACTGAAGATATAAGATTCTCATGGAGCTTACACTCAAATCAGTAAAGCAGACAAACAAGTTATTAAGGTAAGAGGGAAAACAGTAAAAGCACTTTGGGAACATTTTGAGGGAAAGAGGCAAGAAGAAATGGCCTAGATCAGCCAAAGGCAGGAGACACAAAACTTAGGAAGGATAGGTAGCTAAAAGCAATCTTAAGCTATACTGGAAAATATATTTTCAAGTATTAAACCCATGAAACAGAGTAATAATATATGAGTTAACGAGGCTGATATAATCCAATAAGGATTTTCCTTTAAATTTTGTAACATTATATGCAGATTTTTCTATAAATAGTTAATAAAATCTGGGCATTACTATATAATGTTGGATTAAGGATTAATATTTGACACTGAAATACCTTAACTTCTTTGATACATATGATACCAAGTCTTTAATGACATAAAAATCAGAATTATCTCTGCATAATAAACTGATAGGATACTACTGAAATAATCTTGGCTCGAAAATGGACTATAGTTGTAAAATGAGCCTTTTTAATAATTTATTAGATAAACTTAATAATTTATGTTAATTTAGCCAAAATGTTTTAACATACTCACTTTGACTGATTTACATCAATAAGAGAACCTATTTTTGATGTGGTAAAAGAAATGTGTTCATCTCCAATTACAATTTCAAGTTCCTAAAAAAAAAAAAAAAAAAAGAGAGAGAATTATAATTAATATAAGATCTATCCCAGAGACATCTGAATTCTTGCTACAAAAAGATCCCATTTTTAGCTACAAGTTTTCTAGCATTCAACAGAACAGAGGGGGGAAAAAAAGAAAATCTGTCAGGCATCACTGTCCTTAAAACTAACAGTCTCACTGACTAGTCACTAACTGACTAGTTACAAGCACTATCTCCAATTTTAGAATAAACCAAAAATTGCTTATAGAAGATACTATAAAATAAATCAACACAGAAATGTTTATTATAATGCTAGTAAACACTAGAGATATAACTGGGCATATTTAGTAAAAATAATTATATAATCTTAAATACATTTTTATTTTTCTCATTTATTTTTTCTCTTTTTTTTATTTTTATTAGTGCATTATAGTTGCACATAATGGTGGGATTTGCTGCTACATATTCACAGATACAACATAACAATATAATTTGGCCAATTGTATTTGCCGCAGTCTGGCTGGGCTGTGGCCCTCAACAGTCATTCCCTAGGTTTCTTTTCCCTTTCTTCTTCCATCCCACTGGTCTCTTTCCTCTACTCTACTGATCTCTCTTCTATATTCATGAGACACAAACTCCAACACACCTTTCTTTTCTCTTTTCCTATCTAGTTTCTAAAAATGAGAAAACATGCAAACTTTGACCTTCTGAGTTTCTTATTTTGCTTAACATAATGGTCTCAAGTTCTATTCGTTGTCCTGCAACATATTTTCTTTTTTCTTTATGACTAAATACAGCTTCTTTGTGTTTAAATAACACATTTTCTCTCCATTCATCCACTGACAGACACTTAAGCTAGTTCCATAATTTAGCTATTGTGAATTGTGCTACTATAAACAGGCATGCATGTATCTCTGTAGTATGCCAACCTTTATTCTTTAGGATAAATAATGAGGAGTGGTATATCTGGGTCATATGGTGGTTTCATTCAAAGACTTTTGAGGAACTTTCATACTGTTTTTCATACTGGTCATACTAATTTAGAGTCCCAGCAACAGTGTAAAAGTTCGTTTTTCTCCATACCCACTCCAGCATTTATTATTGCGTAAGCCCATTTTTAACATTATAAATATATTTTCCCTTTCTACAAGGTTCTACAAATAAAATACATGAAACTAATAATAGCTACCACTTTGGTACCTAATATGTTTCAGGCCCTGCTGCTTGAACTTTACATTTTTTGTAATCCCTAAAATAATCTTATAAGTAGGTCTTATTAGCCTTATTTTATAAATATATAATTTATATATATAAAATTCATAAAACATACAAAAGATTTATAACCACTAATAAGTGATACTACTGACTATAAGACTTAAAGACTAATACACTCTTCTGAATTCACCAATTAAAATTAAGAACTTGTAAAACAAATACAATATAATATAGTTAGTGGTTCCTAGTGTGTATAAATTTTTCTCTATATTGCTTATCAGCAAATCTAAAACTCATAATTAAGGGGCTTCTCTGTAACTAGTTTTTAAGTTAAATTAACAAACAGATGTCACTAAAGAAATTCTAGTTATATATGTAATTAGAAAACCTAATTATGCAGAATTTATGGCACATTCCAAATGAGAATGAAGATTTATCACAAAATTTTTGACCTAAGGATCCAACAGGTAGTTTCTGGAGTATGTCTACTCCTCCCCACTAACCAAAACCCATGAATACATGCTCAAGTGGGCAGATGAAAAACTAGGTTCTCTCCCTGAATCTAAAAGATAAAAAATGTTAGTTGCTAATGTTGCTGTTTTGTAGTACACATGTATAAATGCATAAAACAAACTAAAGTCTAAATTTACTCTTTAAAAGTGATAAAAATGGATAAAATAAACTGTTGACTATTACCTTTACTTTCCTAAACAATGCTCCTTTAAATAGAAGAGTTAAGTTAAGTTAAGTTAAGTTAAGTCATCATGTTTGATTTCTCCACACTGTTCCTCTAGTCAAAGAAGGTGACATAAAGTACAACTTTAGGAATACACAAAAGTGAAATAGAATGTTTCTTCCTTTCATGGGTAGTATCCAATTTTCCAAAAGTTGAAAAGACTTAATCCAGAAAGCAAATCCTTTTACAGAGTGAAATAACACCTTTAAGAGTTCTTCAGACGCCCTTGACAAACATCAATTATTATGAAGGGAATATCAGAGGCAAATACAATGGTCCGTTTGAACAAAGAAATCCATCAAATCTTTTTCTAGAGCATAAAGGTACAAATAACAACTCTTAAAGTTATAAATCTGAAGAAAGTGAATTTTATATAGTCGTGAGAATCCTAAGTCTCAAATTCCACAAATACAACTTGTACTTATTTCTAATAAGTAAATAAAATATAGTAGAAACCATTAACAACAGAATGAAAGCATCATAACTGTGGTTGGAGTGGCTATGGAAAATACTATTCAGAAAGTTATCTAAATTTAGAACTATGTGCTGACTCCTTTACCACAAGGAAATAACAGAGAAAATGAAGCTAAGTGAAATAAAAGTAGACTATTTACCAGATGCCTACTTAAGTGGAAAACCAAAGAATCAACAAGTAACCATTATAAAAATAAGAGAAAACAATCATTAACAAAACTTAACATTTATGTATGTGAAGAATCACTAAATACTAACCTGTCGTCCAACCCTGTCAGGGGGAGGCCACAGGGCATCATCTTCTTTTGTAATTTCACTGTCATCAATAATTCTCTTCAGTTCTTCCATTACACTCTTATGTACATATGCCTGAAAATAAATTATAATAAAATTTCACAATGTCCAACTATATCTTTTCATAATTCAACAGGAAATTTAAAAAGAGTTACAAATTCTGAATTTTCAATTAGAACACCACAGAAAAATTTAATTGTGATTCCAAAATAACAGGATGACAAACATTTACTCTTCTCAAGAATATTATTTTTTTCTTTACTCTCTTGTCCTTTCTTTTAATATTTACGTCTTCCTATCACAGGCCCCTTTAAAATCCTATATTCTTCCTTTGTAACACAGGGTCAAGTACCTCTGAATGGTAAATGGTGACAACACAATATCTAAGAGATAAAAAGACAAATCCAATTCTACATCACTGTTAGTACTCTGAACTCTTTTCAGACTATGTTTACATCATGACTATTTATTTTAAATAATGAACAGAGTAAAGAGACAAAGTTAACTGTAAAATGACTTAAATGATAGATTCAAATATCTCATTATTGAGATTACTTTTGTTTACAATCATATCTAATTGAAATGGAAATTTTTCAAACTATAAATTGCCTTTTTCCTTAAAACACAGTCTTAGATTAACTTTTATAAATTCAACAAAGAGGAAAATGGACCAAAAGTAAAAAAAAATTAAGACATTTGAAAATCTTACCTCTTTCCTGATCATGACATCATTTTTGTAATTGCTATTGTTGGCATATCTAAGCTTTCCTGTGGGGAATAGAAAAAAATTCAATGTATAATAGCAAACAATACTAAAAAATAGAAAATTAAAAAATGACACTGTGATTTTGAAGGTAAAGACCATTTTATACTATCAATTTTACTACTATTTCCTCCCTCATAGTGTAAGATCCATGCTAGTCATAATAATAAATACTTACGGGTAGCCAAATTTTAAAATATTCTGTGCCTTTAATATATGATAGGTCACTTTTAAGGCCTATTTAAAGCCATATCATGAACTAGAAAAAGAATCTGAAAAAGGAACATTTCCTTTAAAGTTTAATGTATCTGTTTTGGTTCTAAGTACTTTGCCCAGAAAATTTAAATGCATAAAACAATAAAGTTGGTTTTATTCTCTCACCTATTCATAGTTGAGCAAAGTAAGTTGACCAGGGTCACGCAAGATTAAGATCTAAATCTACTTTCTTTAATGCTTTTTCTTATCCACTAAAGTGTTCTCTTTTAATTATTTTCCTTCCAATTAATGTGTACATATTTTTAGTAATTATTTTAGAATATGAATAGGGGCTGGGCGTGCTAGCTCTCTCCTATAATCCCAGAGGCTTAGGAGACTGAGAAAGGAGGATCCAAGTTCAAAGCCACCTCATCAACTTGGACCTTATCTTAAAATAAAAAATAAAGAAGGCAATGGCTCAGTGGTTAAGCACCCCCAAGGTTCAATTCCTGGTAACAAAAAAAAAAAAAAAAAGAGAGAATTGTAAATAAGATGCACATGAACTATGTGCTGTTCCTCAATAAAACTGATCAGTTTATCAGCTGGTGTATATTTAACTGTAATCCATCACAACTTTTTTACTGGCTACTGCACACAATCCCACAAGGCGACTCAGTTGCCCAAGCACAGCTATGATGTGATCCTGATCCTCTACAATGACAGGTTAACCTAAAGAGATGTAGTATTTGGGAACTGCAATTTTCATGACTCATTATCATAACTAATGTTAAGTAAGTGAAGCGATGTGGTGGCAGACTAAATGAATGAGAATCACTGTTTTAACATGAAATTTCCCTGATAATACTAGGGTGATTAACTTATGTGCTTAGCTAAAAGTTATTTGGACAAGCTATATGGTGTCAATAAAAATCCACGCAGCTGAACTGTCCTATTGCAGGTAGACGGAGTTCAATATACAGTAACATTCTTTAAATATCAAAGACAGTACTGCTGTACACTACAGGCTAATGCTACTCTCCCAGTCGGATTTTTTTTCCTCCCCTCAGAAGCCAAGAAAATCTCTTATTCCAAAACTCATCTCACGTTGTCTATCATTTAAAGTTTTTTCTCACTCCCTCCGGTAGACCTAACTTCTCCCTATCCCACCCCTCTCTACATTTTTGGTATTCTTAATGCATATGCATGGTGAAAAACTGTATTTAAGTACTTGAAACACGTCCATTTGTTTATATGATGGGCTCCTCTATAAAGACCTTAATACACACCGCCTGAATGAATAAGTAGTCCCCTTTTATGCAACCTTGGAACAACACTTGAGGCCAGTTTTCTTAACAATGTTAAAACTTTTAGGTTGATAACGATATGGCTTCTGAAGTCCCTTTTAGTGCGCGGTCTGTAGGATTAGAACTAATGTAGGTTCAACTTTTCAATATGTGGCATCGTCTGCTTTTCTGAATTAATTTACAGCAATTAATTCTCTTTTATTCACAAAACTTAGGCCTTCTATAGCCTTAAGCAACACACACACACACACACACACACACACACACACACACACTTTATTTTTTTTCTTCGCCAGGAGTAGTGGCCATTGTATCCCATTCATGCCCGAGGTTCGCTCACTCTACCCGCCTCGCCTCCTCGTCGGCCTCTCATCCAGATTCCCCTTTCCCACCATTGACCCCGTCCACTGCTCACCGTCCGGCCGAAACTCGAACTCTAGAAACTCGTGTCCAAACTTGCCCTTGTGCCCTACGTAGTAGCGCAGGTAGAAATCACTAGCCATAGACATTTTGGTCTCCCGGAAGCCCGCCGAAAGCTTGGCCAGCGTGCCGCCTGGCGCTTGTCAGTGACGTCAGTCGCACAGATAAGTGCGTCACTGCAGCCGCGTCTCTTCCGCCTCCGGAACTCCGGGAGAAAAGCTTGAAAGAAACCCCTAGCGTGAGAGGCTCTCGAGCGCTGGAGGGAGCTTAGCAGCTGCTAGCCTTCGGTTTACGAAAATCGAAACGCGTTCTTTTCTAAACGAAGTAGAGTACATTACATTAACAAAGAACAGAAGTGTTAAAATGTAATAGCTTTTTTATGGACTTATAAGCAAGGTTTGTGGAATCGATTTTATTTTTCGGCCCTTCTAATTCTTAAGGCTTCCTCCGTTATGGGTGTGGCTTCTGTGATCTTAAAATAAGCTTTCCAAGAGCCTTTTACTTTTTGGGTCTCACGACCTTTGTGGCATCCTGTGAAGTGAGTGTGACTTTATTTTCCTATAATTGGTGAGATGAGTGAAAATACATTCCAGAAGTAAAGTGACAGAACCAGTCTTTAATAGAACTTTTGAGATATTTAATTCTTTCAATAAGGTTTCATTTGTGGTGGCCTGTGAAATTTTGGCAGTTTGATCTAAGGGCAAATAATGGTTTTGTCCACATTTCTTGCCAGGTATAGTTAAATTGGGGAAATGAAAGAATGCTCCAGTGTGGGTTGGTTTTGAGGAATAGGAAAAGACAGTGAACATTTACACTTAATCTTCTCTTCAAATATTATTGATCATCCCTCTGTTACCAACAGAGAGTAATCCTGTCTGGTGTCTGACAATCTTCAGTGGAATTTGGTAGAAAATTGTTGTCAGAAGATGTAGAATTCAGTCCCAACATTGTCACTACCTAACCTTGTACAATTCAGTACTATCTCTAAGCTTGTTTGATCATCAACCAAATGAATAGCAATCAGCTTTGCCAAGCTCATAAAACTGTTGAAATCAAATGAGATACTCGACAAAGTAAGCTTTGAACTTTGTGTAGTTTTAGCAAGTATTCTTTATGTACCAGAAATGAACACTAGTAATAAAAAGGTAGAGGCATTTACACCTGCAAGAAAGCAAACATGTAAAGCAAACAGTACAAAGGAGCAATTGCTGTTATGAAGAATATGTATAAAACATGCTGGTATATTACAACAGAAAGAAGGTGCCTTTTATTAGAGTTTGAAGTTTATAAAATAGGAAGTTATCAAAGAAAGCTTATGTAGGGAAGTGTTATTTGAATTGGGTCTTGATAAGTTGTGTGTATGTTCAGTCATCTGGAAAAGTATTTCAGGCCTGGCCTAAGCAAATGTATAGTATTATAAAAGTACATGTTTAGAGAAAGCCAATAAATGAAATGTAGTTAGGGAACTAACTAGAAAGGTAGGTTGGGCAGGTTATGTGAGTGTATTAATATAAGAAAGTGTTCAGTCCTTAAAACTTAAGAAAAATAAAGCATATGCCTTACTAGTAGGGTGACCATTTGCCCAGGACTAAGGAATGTCCTGGGATTTGGGGTTTTTGTTTTTCAAAACTGGAAGATCCCAGGAAACATGGTATAAAATGGACAGCATTTTACATAAAAATAATTACATACATACATAAAAATACATAAAAATAATTCACAGAAATATGAGCACATAATTCCACAGTATCTTTGAAAATATCAGTTATAATCCATTTGGTTGAATTCTGTGAAAAGCTTCATTGAATATCTTAGATTTTCTAATGTATTTCCTTCAGGTTTTGGCATGTGTACCCAGGTTCATCTTCATGTCTACCTAAATAGATCTATAAACACCAGAATTTGAGGCTATGAAATAGAGGTTGTAGGATGCATAAAGTTTTTTTTTTAAATATTTATTTTTTAGTTGTAGTTGAACTCAATCTTTATTTTTATGTGGTGCTGAGGAGCAAACCCAGGACCTCACATGTGCTAGGTGAGTGCCCTACCGCTGAGCCACAACCCCAACCCATAGGATGCACAAAGTTTTAAGGTCTTTGTGAGTGGACCAGTTACTGTCTTTATCCCCTAAAAAGTTTATACTAGTTCTCTATAATCCTGCTTGTTTGGGGCTGGGGATGTGGCTCAAGGGGTAGCACGCTCCCCTGGCGTGCTGCGGCCCGAGTCCGATCCTCAGCAACACCTATAAACAAAGATGTTGTGTCCACCGAAAACTAAAAAATAAATATTAAAAATTCTCTCTCTCTTTAAAAAAAAATCCTGCCTGTTTTTAAAATGAAATGTGAAACTATATTAACTCTTCATATTTTAAGCCTAAAATGTACTAAAATAGATACCTCTTGTGATAAATATTACAAAGCAATAAAGCATTTGTTTTTTGTGATCTGAGAGGGCATACAACAGTGATATAGAAATATTCTGTATAGATACTGAGTACTTAAAATGTAGCTAGTGTGAGTAAGGAACTGAATTATTAACTTTGATAAATTTACATTAGCATGTTTAAATAACCACATATGGCTAGTGGCTACCATGTTACAGTTAGCACAGTTACATAAGAAGCTCTTCATACACTTTTAGTTGGCCTAGAAATAGTTAAAATATTTTGTGAGCTTTTTTCAATCAAAATTGCTATTGGCTCCAAATTAGAGTACAGGTATTCTTATCACCAGTTTATAAAAAAATAAATGTTTCATCTGCTTATTTGAAAGCAAAATCCTATTTCTGGGCTGGTGTTGTGGCTCAGTAGTAGAGTGCTCACCTAGCATGTGCAAGGCCTTGGGTTCGATCCTCAGCACCACATAAAAATGAATAAGTAAAACAAAGGTATTATGTCCAACTATAACTAAAAAGTAAATATTTTTTTTTTAAATCTTGTTTCTGCCTTTGCTAACACAAAGCACACAAAAATCCTGTTTCTGCCTTTGCTAACACAAAGCATCTTGTGAAATAGTTTTGAAGTAGATAAGAAAGAAACATTCCCAACTCCAACTGAAATTAAGACTTAATGGTTTACTCAAATATACAGTATTTGTTGATAAAATAATGATTTGCCACTAGAATTTTTAAGTTTATTACTTCCAACTTTGTGGTAATGCATCAAGTGAGGGGGTTATGATCAGAGATGTTTCTTTCTTACAATTGTCATTTTAATCTTTAAAATGTTCTGTTGATTTTTCTTACATCTAAAATTGTCTTTTTCTATGATCTCTTTATGCCTCCTCTGACCTGCCTCTTTTTTTCCTTTTTTGCTTCTCTATTTAAAATGATCAAACCAGTCCAACTACCAATTTTCAGAAGCATATTCTAATTGTATTGAGATAAACACTAGAGATAATTATCTCATGTTTGTGTGTATGTGTGTGTGTGTGTGTGTGTGTTTTCAGTGCTTTTGATTCACTTTAAGTATTTACAGGAGTTGTCTAGGGCTATCTCAGTTAATAGATCAGAGTACTAAATCAAGAATAAGAGAGCTACAATTACAGTTAAGTAGTAGAGCACTTGCCTAGCTTGCTTCAGACCCTGAGTTCCATCCCCAGCATCATCAAAGAAAAAGAATAAGGGTAGTATGTGCCCTAAAAGAATATTTGAGAGTGTTTTTAAAAGAGAGGCTGTAGTGAAGTATTTTGCATCAGTACTTAATTCCATCCACTCACCTTTCTCTTCTCTTTTCTGTAACAGACTTCCATATGGATTTTAGCCATATCTGTCTTTATACCATTTAATGGTATTATTTTTAAATAAGAGAATCATCATCATGTAGAAATGCCAAACTTCCTATTCCATTGTTTATCAGATATGTTCATGTTAAACACTAGATGCTTTTTCTAGATTATCATGACATGATGATATGTACTTAATTCCATTAATAAAACTAGGAATTTTTGGTAACCTATAACAGTATTATATGCTTAAACAAGATAACCTCTAACTTATGCCCAAAACAAATAAAA